TGTTAAGAAAGATAAAAAAATATGTTATTGTTGAAATGTTTAACGAAATGGTTTGACGACTGCCAAACAATCATTGTCAGTCTCGGTTTTTGTAGTACGGTAAGTTATTCTGACTCTCTACTTCTCGTGATTACGTCAGGTGATGTTGGTGAGTGGCAACCAAATGGAAGCATGAAGATAATTGACAGGAAGAAGAATATCTTTAAACTCTCACAAGGAGAGTATGTTGCGGTCGAGAACTTAGAAAACATCTACGGTGAAGTACAAGCTGTTGATTCTGTAAGTCTTGCTACCGATACATTGTCTTCTCTCGCATAATATGTTGGAAAGATTGTCATCTACTAATAACCTCGTCGTTCCATCAACTTCGTAGGTGTGGGTGTACGGGAACAGCTTTGAGTCCTTCCTAGTCGCAATCGCCAATCCAAACCAGCATATCCTTGAACGCTGGGCTGCAGAAAACGGTGTGAGCGGTGACTTCAGCGCTATCTGTCAAAACGCAAAGGCAAAGGAATTCATTCTGGGAGAACTCGTTAAAATAGCCAAAGAGAAAAAGGTTTTTCCATCTTCATTTATGAATTCATGATTCTTTGTGTCTATTCATTTCATTTAATCTCCTACTGTGTTGAATTTTTTCAGATGAAGGGGTTTGAGATTGTCAAGGCGATTCATCTAGACCCGGTAGCGTTTGACATGGAACGCGATCTCCTCACCCCAACCTACAAAAAGAAGAGACCTCAATTGCTGAAACACTACCAGGTAACATAGAAACTCAATTCCGTATTATATGCTGTAGAAACTGTGGCGTTAAGCATTTTTGATTTAACACCAATCTCGTTCTTTATCTGACAGACTGTGATCGATGAAATGTACAAGACCACAAATGAAAAGTTAGCTTCGAGAGGTTAAAGATAGATTCATCATCACTCTCGGTCTCTTGCTTTGCTTTTTCTATGGGTAAGACTTTGTTAATAGGAAGGCTCTTTCTTTCATCTGTGTAAAATATTTGGATATTTCATAGCATCGGATCAGAGCTCTGCTACACTTATTTGTCTTTTTTTTCTTCTCTTACTTTGGTCTATTTTTCATCTTATGAAATCTACTTTTATGTTGAATGTCAATGCTTCTTAATAATTTATATTGGGACGGAGTTACACAATTGGGATTTGCTGAATTTTGCTCTGTTCAAATCTAATAATATATTCTTCATTACCTAAACATTTTTTTTATAAAATCAAAACAAATGACGCCGTCGCATTTGTTCGTAAATTAAAGATCACATTTTATATTGGAACATACGTACATCCGATAAAATCCAAAACTAATAATTTAGTAAAACATATCTTGTGCACTGTCTTAAAATACAACCTCTTTTTTTGTTGAAGTTAAATACAACATTGTTCAACTTTTGAGCTTAAAATTCAAATGGATCATTGAATTACCGTGTGCATCACGAAATCAGATACAATCTCCGGTACACTGATAAGTTCTCCTTCCCGTGGAAGCACTCGCGATAAAGGCGAATTTTGTAGAGCAACCAACTCTTCCCTGTTATACTTCACCCTCTGATCTGTATCCACAAATATCAAACTTTCAAACTATGACCATTTATAATCACATATCTTTCCCTCTCATGATATTTTTGTAACAGACCGCGTTATTGAAAAGGGCATTACCTAGGAAACTCCTGGGAACAACAGCAGAAGTCCCCGGCATCCGGTTGTTCTTCCTCTTCGATATCTTTGCGGAACTCTTCAGAGGAGATGACCGAGGAAGAGGTTGATTTTGGTCGGGAGAAGAAGATTCCTGCGCAAACTCATGCCTCACTTTTATATCAGGATGCCTTTTGCAGAGACCAGCGATAGCGTCTTTGGTTAGAAGCCAACAGCCTTTGAGATCGAGTGTTCTCAAGCTTAACTGCGGTCTAAACTTCTCGAGACCATGGTTGGTCAAAACTGCATCTCGGACGCCGAGGCTGACTAGGTTTGGCAGAGAGGCAAGATGGTGGAGAGTGGCATCTGTGAGAGACGTGCTTTTAAGAGACAAGTGTGTTAATCCAGATAGGCTACTTAGAGGGCAGAGAGCAATGTCGCTTAGGTACGGATGTTCTAGACTCAGTGTTTTAAGGGAGGCTAGAGATTGTAAGGCTGCTAGTGACGGCTTTGCTTCCTCTTCCTGTGGAGATTGTTCCTGGATGAATCCTGAAAGAAAGAGCGAGTCGTGGACTTACATTTTGATCAGTTATTATCTGTTCGATAGTTTTAGAAGGCCCATACATACCTCGGATGCTGGTCATGCTCAAGTCAAGGGACTTCACGCAAGGCATCATGGTGCTGATATATAAGATGGAGAGATCGTCGACAAATGTCTGGGACAGAGATAATGTCTCAAGCTGCGGTAAATGTCCAGAAAGAATCTCGACCCCAGTGGAACTGATTTTTGTATCCGAGAGATTGAGATTCCTCAGAGTATAACCAACACATGCTATAAACTCAACAGAATCATCTCCGAAAGCTGTAGAGCTAAGATCAAGATGTTCCAGCTTCGTCATAGTTTCTAAGAAGGCGAAGTTTTGGAGGGAAGTCTTGGAAATGTCTAAGTAGGTTATACAGCTATTGTTGGTGAAGGAAAAGGCCTCGGTTTCAGCACTAAAAGTAGCTCCGGATAAAACGAGTTTTTTCAAGGAAGCTGATGCGGAGCTGTGAGTTTTTGATATGGAGAGAACAGCGCACTTGCTCATGTGTAAGCATTCAAGACACGGTATGTTTGGAGCATGTGTGACGCTGGTCCATGAGAGATTGAGGAAGCTCAAGTTTAAAAATTTAAGAATACCAACAGCTCCTTGGTTGGTTACGTTGCTCCCCCAGATATCGAGGTACTCTAGCTTTGCCAGTGCCTGAGGAACAAAAAGGATTTGGCAGTCAGGTTTTAGAAAGATTGAAAGCATAAACGGTTATTTATGCATATTTCTATAAGTGAATTGAACCAAAAAACATCTAATCGCAAGCATACTAAATCGCATGACATGTTATCTTCATTTAGTATGGATTATTGGGTTTCATGACAAGCAAATGACAGATCAATGATAGAAATCTGGAATAAGACAAAATAGTTCCTATGCACGTAATACTCTGTACTCAACATAGTACCTACAAGGTTAGAATTTTAGCAGAGTTCTTACGATTTAACTATATAGATGATTACCATTAAACTACACATCGAGCAACTAATATAGAAAAAGCAACGCAAGGGTAAAAATCTTGTACCTGGAGAGAACTCAAGTTGTGGTCAGTTACAGGTAAGCCACCCAAATCTAGAAGAGACAAGTTTTTAAGTGAAGCAAGAAGAGAAATTCCAGCTTCTGTAACTCCTGTCTGTGAAATCCACAACTTTTCCAGATTTGCAACAGACTGGAGGTGCTTTACACCCGCATCCGTAACCTTTGAACATCTTGAAAGATTCAACTCCGTCAAACTTGTTAATCCTGAAATTCCAATATCATATAAAGACCTTACTTTGTCATTTCTTTTGCAAAATCAGAAGTATTTCCTTCAAAATACCTGTGATAGGCCAGAGAGTAGAATTGTTGATTCTCAGGCAATCTGAAAGATTCAGCGAATATAAATTAACAAAGCCTCCAATATAAGCCATCCATTCTGCGTTAATGGAGCTTTCGCCTCGGAGATCTATTTTCTCTACAGAATGTTTGAATACTCTGAAGACAAAAGATTCTTGTTTAGTTATGATAGAAATGAATGCAAATAATTTATTCCAAAAATCTGAAAGTGAAAACTACCAGAGTTCTAGATAGAGAACTTAAAATTTCCATATGAAAGAGATTCATTGATCTCTAACATCTAAACACAATCAAAATGATTGGTAACACAACCAGAAAACTTAAATTATTTTAACGGATTCGCAGCGACATTTTCTAAGATGTTGAGGCACCCTGAGCCAAACTCCCAAAACCATCAATCATATTAACACTTATGGATCCAAAGCCAACAAACTTTCAAATCTTACAAAAAACAATCAAACATTTTTCTAATAGAGCTTACAATAGTTCAGTGTTGATGAAATCTATCAATTTCCATAACTTTGACTAATATAAGATGAATTTGCAATCTAAAGAAAATTCTAGAGCCACCAGATCTAACAATTCAAGAATAACTAGTTCAACATTTAAGTCTAATGAATCAAAGAAACATTTTTATACTAAATCAAATCTCCTGCAAAAACTAAGATCCCAAGCGATCACTCAGCATCTCAAATCCAACCATACATCTCAGATCAAATTCACGTTAATTTTCAACTAACCCTGAGAAATGGTTAGAAAATCGGAAAACTGTAAAAAGGAAGTTAAGAGTTTACTCGAGTAACGAAGGGAAAAGCAGTCGCCGGCGAAGGAGGTGACAGAGGAGAGCATCGGCAAGGTGAGGAGGCAGCCGTTCAAGGCTCCGCCGCTGAAGACGCCATCGTTCCACGGCGTCTCCGCTCTTGCAAGCTGCCTCTAAGCATAGACGCACCAATGAACTCTCCATCGTCGAAATTTCTGATTCTTCGTGCCCGATTAGGTCTAAATTTTTATTTGATAAAAAGCATTATATTTAAAAACATTTTTACTATATAAAAATTTAAAATATAAGCTATTGAAAATGTGTACATACGATTTCAAACAATAAAAAAAAAAGAACATTTAGCATCTAAATTAGTCTAAGAAAAATTCTAAAATTTTAAAGTAGTTTTGATAATATAAAAAAAAAAAATTACGAAATAAAGAAATTATGTTATGGTTTTTCTTTAATAGTTTAGTAACATTTTCTTTTTATCAGAGTTATAGATTGTCTTAAATCTAATGGTATAGTAAAGAGTTTTCATTTTGTGAAAGAAAAAAAAACACCTACTACATTTCTATGAAGATCCTTATTGGGCCACTAATTTACACGACATATGGCCCAATACATCTAAAATTACGAGCCCGTATTGACCCCGTTGACACACGTGTGTTGGCACGTGCTTCCTTCCACACTGCACAAACTTTCACACACATATTTTGCTCCTTCCCCTCCTCCTTATTAACTGCGCGCTTTAACCATTACTCTACTAAATTAATAATTTCACAGATTTTAGAGACAAAGGAAACAAAATTATTTCACAGATTTTTTTCTCTCTTCCCAAAAAACAAAACCTCTCCAAAAAAAATCTCAATCTCTCCACTCAAACAGCGAAAATGTGGCGAATCTCAGCCTCCGTTTTCCTCTCCCTATGCCTCGCCGTTTCCGTCTTCACCGTCTCTTCGTCGTCGGAGGCGACGTGTTCCGGTATAGTCCCATTACGGTACAGGAACGATAAGATCTCGATTACGGATTTTGGCGGCGTCGGAGATGGTAGGACGGTGAACACGAAGGCGTTTAGGGCGGCGATTTATCGGATTCAGCATCTGAAAAGGAGAGGAGGTACGGTTCTGTATATACCTCCGGGAGTGTTTTTGACGGAGAGCTTCAATCTCACTAGTCATATGACTCTTTACTTGGCTAGAGGTGCTGTAATCAGAGCTGTTCAGGTATATAATTTCTTCAGATTTCGGTTTTAGATTGGTTTTTTCTTCTCGGATTCGAATTCGGATCTAAACCGTATATTAAGATATGGTTTGGTTTTCAGATCGATTATTTTGGTTATGTTCGGATTGAACACCCTCTGGGACTGACTAACATAATTTGGTTAGTTTCTGATTCGAAATTTGAAATTCATTTCTTTAGTTAATTTGATAAATGATTGTAGATAAATTTCTTGGTGAATGGTCTCTATCTGTTTTTTTTTTTCTGGAATTGAGTTCGATAATCAATAGTGAGTGATTGATTATGATCCAATGATCGAATGCTAGTAAAGATATTCCATTTCAAATTTTGTCAACTAATTAGTATTTTAGTAAAGTAATTATTGAAGATTTGGGGAACCATGCACGTATAATTAATTAATAAGTAGTAGTACATATTTGGGTATGGGAATTGGTAAATGGTAGGTCCAAACATCATGGGACCGTCGGGTCTAAAACGTTATTGTATGCCATGTGATGTTACTGCCTTTATGTCTATGTTTCAATACCTCACCCAATTATATAGCTGGCAATTTTTGTCTCTTCACATCATCCGATTTTGGATATCAAAAAATAATAATACTAGTAAATTAAATCTTTTGGTTAGAGTGTTTTATTAGAGCAAGGAGTGTGGACAGTTTTGAGTGAGAATCTCAGTTCATTCGGAGTAGGATGCTGCCATATTTGTTAAACCTCATATTCAATTCTCTATTTGATTAGATTCTCTGATTGGTTTTGTATTCAAGTGAGTAAAGAACAAAACTCTACTTGTCAGTGTAGTATATAAATCAATGTCTGTGTGTTAATATGTCTTATGACCGAATATGGCCGTGTGAACATTTTCAAGTTATGAACATTTCATTCAGACTCGGATGGTTTAAAATTCAAGTGATCATATTAGTGTATGATTAAGGAATTACATATTGTGATCCTTTGAATTGGTTTGTTGACTTTTATGGTGTGTTGACTTCAGGATACATGGAATTGGCCATTGATTGATCCATTGCCATCTTATGGAAGAGGAAGGGAATTACCAGGAGGACGGTATATGAGCTTTATTCATGGTGATGGCCTTCGTGATGTAGTCATCACCGGTGAGTTTGGATCGTCTTATACTCTTTATATATATAGCTAAATAACACACACACTTAAGTAGAGTATATTTGTCAAACAGTAGAATATGAATTTTTTTTTTTCAAAATGTAGTCTTTAACTAAAACATTAGTATTGCGCTGCGATTTATTGGTTGAGGAAAAGAATAATTAAAACCAATCAAATCTTTAGTTTAAAACAAGATCTTAGTACAAGAAAAATTTCGGATTTTTACTTTAGTAGACTACCTAGTACATGTCGAGGAACATAGTGTTTTTCTTTGTTTCCTTTCGGTGATAAGATTTTGTAAACACTCTTCTTATATCACATTGCAACATTATTCTACACAGGACATAACGGGACAATAGATGGTCAAGGAGAAGTGTGGTGGAACCTGTGGCGCAGTAGAACTCTAAAGTTCACAAGACCGAATCTAATCGAGTTCAAGAATTCAAAGGAGATCATAATCTCCAATGTTATTTTCCAGAATTCACCCTTCTGGAACATTCATCCTGTGTATTGCAGGTATATAAAGCTACTTACTTCCTTTTACATCTCCCAAGGGTATTGTTATGGTATTGACTTGGTTATTCATTTTGATCCGCGGCAGCAATGTGGTCATCCATCACGTTACCATCTTAGCTCCACAAGATTCGCCCAACACCGATGGAATCGATCCAGGTTTCCACTTTATCTTTTCTTCTTTCTTCCATCAACAATAGATTGCTTGGTTGAAAACATATCAAACATGTCTAGATGGGAACTTGAGACATCTTAGTATATGAATTATAGCTATTCATTGCCCCATCAGTTTATTATCATCTGAACAAAATTAAATTTGTTGATAGATTCCAGCTTCAACGTCTGCATAGAAGACTCCTACATCTCAACAGGAGACGACCTTGTTGCTATAAAAAGCGGTTGGGACGAATACGGGATCGCTTTTGGCCGTCCAAGCTCAAACATAACAATCCGCCGCATCACAGGATCTTCCCCGTTTGCAGGTATCGCAATAGGAAGCGAAACATCAGGAGGAATCAAGAACATCTTAGCAGAACACATAAGTCTCTCCAATATGGGCGTTGGAGTCAACATCAAGACAAACATTGGTCGTGGAGGATACATCAAAAACATCAAAATCTCTAATGTCTATGTCGAAAACGCAAGGTACGGGATCAAGATCGCCGGGGACACTGGAGATCACCCGGACGCAAACTATAACCTGAACGCTCTTCCAGTCGTTAAGGGAATACATATCAAGAACGTTTGGGGAGTTAACGTTCAAAACGCTGGCTCAATTCAAGGTCTTAAGGGCTCACCTTTTACAGGTAAATTATATTTTGTTATTAGTATTATACCATATCGAAATCATATACATGTTTGGTTATTAAAATAACTTGGAAATTACATAGGGATATGTTTGAGTGAGATAAATCTACATGGAAGCTTGAATTCGTATCGGACGTGGAAGTGTTCTGATGTTATTGGAACTTCACTGAAGGTTAGTCCTTGGCCGTGTTCGGAGCTGAGAACTACCGGCGGATCTAATTCCTGTTCTTCCATTTTCTGAAAACTTCCGACCAAGTTTCTCCTCCATTCGTTTATAAACAAAATATTTATTTCAAATTTGCAGTTATGTTTGTATTTTTTTTTCCCCAGTATAAGTTTGTATTTTTGAAACTAGTAAAGTCAAATTATATAATCTACTATATTAAAGGTGATCAGCACTCTAGATGACATGTGGCGGCCTCTTTAGTTGATGATATATGTCCTAAACTTTAGATGCAATGACAACCAAGAGGAGCTCGACGAAATTCTGAGAGATATAGAACATATTATGTTTATTCGCATACATTGGGTTACTAATGAGAGATGAAATAGAATCCAGAGGAGTTCTATGGCAACCTACATGGTTGTTTTATTAAATTGTCTTTATAAGCTATGAAGAAAGATGTTTATGAGGTATTTTCCAAAGCTTACATGATTTACTACTCTATGCCTTTCTACAACGGATATGACTAGGCAAGTATCCGCGTGTTGCGCGAGACAACAAAATTGGAAAATTAACAGATTAAGACTGTAATTAAAGTGAATAATATCAAATTAGCATATATGTCCTTTGATTTTGCGGTAATATCGAATTAGTATAAGATAAAGTAAAATATTTAGAAGAAAATTAATGATAAAATTGAATAAAAAATTGGTACAAAAATTAAGCTGGTTTTTAGTGGAGAAATAGAAGAGATGATATGGTTAGAGAATCACCTTATAGAAATTGCCAAATTCTGAAAAAAAAGGAAAACAAAGAAGAATCGTTACAAACGCAAGAAGAAGTAAGGAATAGATAGAAAAAACCATATTTAAAAAAAAAAAAGAGGACAAACACAATAGGAATATCTAAACTCGACCAACGAATATAACGAATTAACAATACGTGCCTCCATTGATTTTGCGATAGTGAGGAACAAAACACAAATTGTAAGATCTTACAAGAGAAGTGACAAAGAGCAAACCGGAGACAGGAGAAGTGATCGGAGTGTTCGAGAGTATTCAGTTGGGTGCTAAGGTACCAAACGATGTGAAGTTCCAAGGGGTTTGGTATAGTCAACTTGAGTGATCAATCTTATTACATTAAACAACTTTTGTTAATTGTATTTGATGATAATATAAGTACATCGTTTGAAGCTTTCTTCATTCATCTCTCTTATACAAACAAAAAATTGCACATGCTTTGATGATAATGTACACATTTCGGCTTTTGATGATTCCATTAATTTGGGGCCATATTCTTTTAGGTTCAGTTAGCATAGGCCCAGTAAAATATAGAAATGGCTCAATTTCAAAGAGTGTTTCTCAACGACAATCATATAAAAGTTATCATGTCGAGGGCAATTTGGTAATTAAGTAAGAGATAGGTTTTCTTCTTTCATTGAAGAATGCGACTGCGACTGCGATAAAACGTCTTCTCAAGACAATGTAGCCGTTAATTATTTTTTTCAAACAGTAACTATGCTTAAACGGTTTTCTTTTTTAATTCGTTTTCCTTAACGTCTAGATTTTCCTATATTAATAAATCAATGGGTTTTTGCTTCATGTCTTTCTGTTCTCCTCTACCCTTCTTATAGATCACGTAAGTATTAAAAATTGATTTTTTTCTCAATCGTTATGATTTTGCTCTTAGTTCATCAAAAGATCATTGTTTCTTGTACGAGATCATGAGTACTTTGATTTCGATTACAGATTTTGTTGGAATCCTTCGATTACAAACCTTAATCCGACAAAGATGGGTTTTTGCTTGCTCCGATTCTTTTGGCTAAAAAAACACCAAATTAGAATTTCGTTGGTCTCTATGTTCTCGTCTATCTTTCTATGTTCTTCAATCCAACAACAAGATTGATTCATTGATCAAGTAAGTTTTTACAATTGGATCTTTCACGATCGTTATGATTCCACAACTGTGATTTGCTCTCTCAATTCATCAAAAGATTTCCGTTTCTTGTGGTGGGATTTACCTTTATGAGATGAGTAATTCGATTGTCCTTGTTTCGATTACAGGTGTTGTTGAAATTCTTCGCGAAAAGCCTTAAATCCGACAAAAGGTGGAAGATTTAGAGAACAAAGTCGGTGGAAACTTGTAGCTCAAGTCAAGCCCTACAAATCGAAATTGGGTATGTTGATGATTAGGCTCGTGTTTCAATATATGCGATTTGGAATTGTAAAAATTATTTGTCATGTTCTGTAATTTGCTTTTGCGATTGGTGACTAATTTGGATTCTGATTGATTTGGCCAATACAGAGAGATGTGCAAGTTTCGTAGTTCGACAGATGTGGAGGCTTCGCTAAGTTTGTGGTAAGTTGTTATGTCGAAACACTAGTTTCTTTTTTTCTCTGGAAAAAAAAACTCTTTTTTAATTCGTTTATATGTTATACCAAAATTAATTAAGAAGCATGATAAAGAAATTTAAGTTGATTCGATCTCTGTATTTTTGTTTTGTAGGTGTGAATATATAGCTAGCGAGGCTCCATTGACGCAAAAGCTTCAGCAACAAAGTCTATCACATTCATGAAGATTGGTACAAATTCAATTTCCTTTGAGTGTAACAAACTTTCTCACTAAAATCCACTTTTTTTTTGCAATTTTGAGAAATACTCTAAATTTTAATGGAAATTTGAAAAATATACTTAATCTTATAATGTTGGAAAAATATACTTTTTGTTACGTAAAAGTACGTAAATACCCTTATACATATTTAGCATGC